GGGCTGATAGTCGATTGTCACTAAGGTGATAATCGATTATCACCCAGCTAAAGTCTAGCCAGCTGAAACCCGTTTTGAAAAACCGAGGTCCAAAAATGAAGTGTTCCCAAAAGTAAAAACCAGGTTTGGAAAATATTGTATATGGTATTAAATATTGAAAACAAGACTTGTTTTGTAAAAACCAAGTCTCCAAGGTCGTATAATACGTACGTACGGTTTAGACCGTTTTTCACGTGTTAGACCGATTGACAAGGATACAAAAGTGGTTTTTATAAAATAATTATTTGGGAACATTTTAAAAATGCTCAGAGGTAAAAACAGGGTTTAAAATATTGAAAACCACGGAGTTGGTTCGGGCGCCAAAAACCGAACGCCGAAAGCCGAACGTCGAAAGCCGAACGCCGACTTAGGTGGTTTTGGTTCTGAGCAAGGACCAGGGATTTTAACAATAAAAGGAATCATCAAAAAAATGTTTGTTTTGATCCACAAGAAATATTTTGTGATTTGTAAAAATTGTTTTGACTTTTTGAGAACCGAGACTTGAATTTATTGTCGATTTTGATCACAAAAGACCGACTCGACTAAGTCTTCAATTCTTGATCTTGTCCTTGAGTCTTTTAGGTCTTGTTCCAAGCCATTCTTCACGCCTTGAGTTATTCAACGAATCTCTTTATATCCACGGCGGTTTGGCAATTATCAAAACCTGTCAGAAATGAACACGACTTTAGTTTATCGTACAAAGTGTGTTCCAACATATAGCCCTATAGGTTATAATTAAATGTTCTTTTGTTAGATTCACTCCTCAGCTTTTGCTGAGCGTGTAGTTGTTTTTGCTACGCGCAGGTAGACATGACGGAGCTGGTGCCAACCTTGGAGAGCAGTGACGATGAGGAGATGGGCGGCGATCGGACGAACTGATATTTCTACTAATTACATGATTAATTATTTGGCCATGAACCCACCCTTGTCATTATTTCATTTGGACTGAACTTATTTATTTACTTCCGCAATTACTCTGCACTTTTATTACACACGTTTTGGGAGTAACTCCCTGGCATTTATTTCTCTAATTAAAACCCAACCATTTTCTTATTAAATAATCATTAATGTTTTCGTAACGGATGGTTCTCGGACTGTCCATGTAACCCTACCGGTCCATCGGGTCGCGGGTGAACCAGGTCCACGGAAGGCGGGTGTTACAAAAAGTTTGCCTTTATCGGGACCAACAACTTCTTCTTCTTCTTTTGACTCTTCTTTAACCAAAATGGGTTAATTTCATCTTCATCACACTCAACAATAGCCATGATCTTTTTGTTTGGATAGTCACTAGCATAGTGACCAATGCCTTGGAAATGAAAGCACCTTTGGACTTGGCTATATGATGAGCTTGGTTTTGAAAGACGAGGAACACTTGGTGATGAAATAGGGTGCATGGTTTTGGTATTTTGTTTGGAAGGAGCCGTGGGGTTTTGTGCAGCAAGGGGGTAGAATTTTATTGACATTGATAGGTGTAAATGGAACAGTTCAAAGAGGATTTGCTCTTCTAAAGTTGAGCTTCCGCTTTGAGGGCTAGCTTTGTGGGATATTCAAGGCTTTCAAAAGATTTCAGCTATATGGTGTTGGCTATTTGGGTGTTGAGACCAAAGAGATATCTCACAAAGGTTTGTGAGTCATTGTCTTGGGGATCAGACCTCATCAAGAGCTCTTTAAACTCTCGGTTGTACTCTTCGACAGACTAATTTCCTTGCTTTAGGTTTTGAAGTCTAGAAAAGTTTTCATGTATGTAATGAGTGGGGATAAACTTCTTCCTCAAAAGCTCTCTCATCTTGGTCCATGTTTGGACAGCAGCCTTGCCTTCCGTTCTTCTTTTGTTTGTAGTGTTTGTCCACCATGTGGAAGCATAGCCTTTGAACTTTAAGGCCACAAGCTTGACCTTCTTGTCATCATCAACATCTTTGAAGTCAAAGATGTGTTCAATCATCTCTAACCACTATATACAATCATTGGGATCATCCTTTCCATCAAAAGTTTGAATTTCAACTTTGAAATCAGCAAAAGACTTATCATGGTCATTCCTTCTATTGGTAGTTGTTGAATGGGATCCTTGATGAGCTTCTTCATCATTTTCTTTAGGGGTTGTCACCATGCTCATCTTGAACTTGGTAAGTTGAGCCACTTGTTTAGCCAAATACTCAAGTTGAGCTTTGAGTTCAGCACTTGATGCATCCAAATCTTCTTTGTTGATAACTTGGGAGGTGTGTAACATATTTGGATATTTTACAAGGTGAGAGATGATGGGAGGGTGTTGAAACACGGGCTTGTCACGTTTTCGTACTAAAGCCGTGTTCGTTTTTGTAACAGGTTTTGATAATGCCAAACCGCCGTGATCAAGTCGAACATTGAATATACAAGGCAAAGAACGAAGATAAGAGCAAGAGCTAAACGAAGACCAAGAACGAAGACCTTAGTCATAGTATTGAGTCGGTCTTTATTGTGATCAAGACCGACCCAATCTTTACACCTTGGCTCTTTAAGCTCAAATCTCTCATTGCATCTCCTACATCATAAAAATGTTTTTCAAACTTGTTTAAGTCATTAAAAACACTTTGTGTTCGCCCAAACCAAAAACCAAGCCATCCAGTGTTCGGCTTTCAGAAACCAGCGTTCGGCTTTCGGTTATCGGCTTTGATTTTTGGCATCCGAACCAACCAAGTGGTTTTCAGCATTTTATGATCTTATTTCACTCTTTGGCATGTTTAAACGGTTCTCCAACAAAAACACTTTGAAAACCATCTTTCGCTTTTAGTCGTTTGACAAAAACCACGGAAAACGGCGTAAACTTGGCTAGCCGTGGTTCTTACTCAAATGACGTGGTTTTTAAAGTAACTCACTTGATTTCTTAGCCAAATACATCAAATAAGTTTTTCAAACACTTGGTTTTTATTTTAGAGAACTTTGGAGATTTCGGTCGGTTTTTGCATCGGTTGGCTAGGCCGTGGTTAAGGCAAAAACTATAGGTTTTTGGCTAACCACCCACCCAGCGATGGGAAGAACATCCCATCGATGGGTAAGAGGCCCCTTAGCCAAACCAACTTCCAGAACCATGTCAAACAGCGATGGGAGGTTCTACTCATCGCTGTTAAAGCCTTGGTCCAACATTATCACAAGGTAGAATGCCCTTACCCAACGATGGGAAGCATTACCCATCAATGTGAACCGAGCGATGGGAAGCCTTAACCATCGATGGGAAGGCATGACCGTTCTAAGTCATTTAAGGTTGATTCTTTCCATGTTTGGATGTCAACCTCCCACCCAGCGATGGGAAGCATGTACCCATCAATGGGTAGGTGACCGTTGGCTTCAAACCTAAAAGAAAATTGGCCTACTAGCGATGGGTAAGGTCCATACATCGCTCGGAAGCCAATATCCTGCAGATCCTAAATTTATTCAATCTCATAAATCAAGCCAATCACCCCTTTAATGTATTGGTCCATTGGAGCCTATTTTGGCACTATAAAAAGGGGTATTTGGGTCTGCTTTTCTCACCAATTCTCTTCACAACATTCATACTTTCATTGCATTCAAATATCATCATTTTTCATAGCTCTCTTGAGCCATTTTGTGTGAAGGTTGAGTTGTTCTTGAGCGTACTTAGTTTACTCATAATCTACTCTACAAGAGAGTCTCGTTCTTGAGTGTATTCGTGTTCTTAGACATTTTGAGAGAAAGTACTTCTCTCGGTAGATTCAAAGGAAGGTCTGTTTCCTTTGAAGGACTCGTTGAGGTTCGTGTAACTCGAACTCTCAAGTTGTAACTGTTTGTTAAGCACCCGCAAGCTTAACGAGATAGTAGTGTAGCTCGAGAGAGTCTCTCGGGAGGCTGGATTAGCCACAAGTTGTGGTGAACCAGGGTAAATTTCGGTGTGCCTTTTACTCTTCTCTTTACTTCTCTTTTAATTTTTTAATTCCTGCGATTTCTACAATCAAACGCTATTCACCTCCCCTCTAGCGTTGGTCTATTATTCTAACAATTGGTATCAGAGCCTAACTCGCGTCCAAACTTAACCGTTTGAGAGTAAAGCGATCATGGGTTCTTCTTCTAGAAATCTTTATGCAGGAATTGGAGAAGGTCAATCAACCTCTAGGCCACCGCTTTTTGATGGCACCAACTACACATATTGGAAAGAGCGGATGAGAATTTATATCCGCTCAACCAACTTCCAGTTGTGGTTGGTCATCAAAAACGGC